GTTTCAACGATGGAGTTCTAATGGATCGAGGTAATCGGATTTGTTTTTGGCTGAATTTTTCAATGATTTCCTCGATGAAACAATCTCCTATTGATGATTTTCGATCAGTTTTTCAATTGTTGTTCGAGTATATTATGAAGTTATGGGAATTGAACCATATAATTTATATAAAATGTGAATTTGGACAAGTGTTTGCTCAGGAGAAATCATTATGAGATTTGGAAGGGGTGGATAAGTCTTGTGGTGATTAATAAACTTCAACTATCTATCAGATGGATGGTTTTCGGTAACGCCTGAACGAGTGGCCGAGCATATGGCCGACCGTATTGTTCGGCGGAATGGTGCGGTTATTATTGATGCGTTTACGGGTGTTGGTGGCAACGCAATACAGTTTGCGTTGAAGGGAGCATTTGGTTGGATTTTATTCTTTTTAATTTGAGTTGATCGTTGTTACTGTTACAATTAGGTTAAAATGATTAGTTTAGTGAATATCCCAAATGATCGATATCGATCGGACTCAGAACTAGACAAAATTTTGAATGGTTCGAATGAGTGAATAGGAGAATCATTGGAATGTTTTGCATTGAAGTGCGTTGTTTAGCTCTTCATTGGCACATGAGAGAAATGTCGTTATAGCGGGAATATTTATTTATCTTCACATTCTTTTGTAGTTGGTGAGAATTGAATTGTTGAAGAATTGAATTGTTTTTGGTTCAGTGATCGCAATTGATCTTGATCCGGTGCGTTTACGTTGTGCCGTTCAAAACGCAAAAGTTTACGGTGTGGCTGATCGAATTAATTTCATCTGCACGGATTTCTTTCACTTTGCGCAATCACCGAGACTATGGAATATGGCAACGCCATTTTCTAATGAAGACGGGGAATGTGATACAAATCAAAATGACAGATGTGCAGAGGGTGTTATCGATGCGATATTTTTGAGCCCACCATGGGGTGGACCGTCTTATTTGAAAATGAAGGTAGGTATCGGTCATCAAAGAAGGATTGTATTGTATATAGGTGTTTGTTCATTCTTTTTGGAATTTTATTTTATGGTTCATTCGATCAGTAATATTTCTAATTTGAAAGAGTGTTCATTTGACGAGCAAATATGGAAGAGAGTCTATTTTCCACTTTTACACTCTTCAC